GGCATGCTGGAAGAAATTCCTCCTCCTGATTGTAAAGGGAGTTCAGACACCCGTCTCCACCAAACACACTCATATTCGGTCCAATAAATCCCTATCTTCCAGAGACCACTCTGACCTATGCTAAAACAGGTGTTTTAAGATAGATGAAATGAATCTTTTTTTCTAGGGGCATGGGCAGTGACATTTCAGGAGACAAATCTGGGCCATTAGGTATTAAATGGCCAGGGTCCTCATTTCTGCTTTAGGTCCAAGAACCATAGAATCATAGAATCAACTAGGTTTGAGAAGACCTTTAAGGTCATCAAGTCCAACCGTTCCCCACCACTAACCCATGGCAATAAGCGCCTTGTTTCCACAGTGTGTGAACTCTTGCAGGGACCGTGACTCCAGCCCTGCCCTGGGCAGCCTGTTACAATGCCTGAGCACCCTCTGGGGAAGGAATTGTTCCTCAGCTCCATCTAGACCTGCCCTGGTGCAGCTTGAGGCCATTTCCTCTTGTCCTATCACTTTTTACTTGGGAGAAGAGACTGACCCCACTTCCCTACAACCTCCTTTCAGGTTGTTGTAAAGTGCAATAAGGTGTCTGCTGAGCCTTCTCTTATCCAGACAAAACAAGACCCCTACTGAAGCAAGTCTACTGCAAGAGATTGCTTCTTCTGGCTTCTCTCTGATGGACATTTTTGCCTTTCAGTCATTTTCTTCATTCACTTGAATTTCTAAGTGAAAAGTAGAAAAAACAAAGCAAAATCGTCAAGTTTCTGTGACCAAGAGGGATTTCCAATGGAAACAGACCACTGCTGCTCTACTTCTGGTGTCATTATCCAACATCTATACTTTCATCTGCATTTTGATCCTCTGTGTTCCTGCAGATAATGCAGTGGCCCAGCTTAATTGAAACTTACAGTAAAAATAAGTTTAAGCACAAACAATTATTCTGTAATGACAGTAATTTAAAATGAAGGGAAAAAAAATCTGCTAATAATTAAAAATATGAATTATTTCTTCCAAAGCTCTGACAGTCCCCACTAAACCTTTTATGCCTCTGGGATGTAAGACTTTTTTTTGCTCATGATTAATTACAAGTTCATCTATTACATCCTCTGTTCCAGCACAAATATAGCAAGTCTCTCTCACCCAATATAAATCAAGCAGTGCTGAAATCCGAACATGTACAATGATTTATAATGGGAAGGAAAAAATATGGAAATAAAGTGAATATGGCATAAAATAAACATTTTCTACATCTTGGATAGGCATAATGGGCATTTTTGTTTTCTACATGGTCCACAGAGTCTCTCTAATATCTGATGGCAACTGAGTCCTTAGTGAATTTACTTGGTGAAGCAGGGAAGTGTTGCTGTCAGAGGGTGAAGCCTACAGTTGAGATGAGAGACTACAGACTATTATGTGGCTGACAATTACGGTATCACAGTATCACAGTAGGTTAGAGATTGGAAGGGACCTCAAAAGATCATCTAGTCCAATCCCCCTGCCGGAGCAGGAACACCTAGATAAGGTTACACAGGAACATGTCCAGGCGGGTTTTGAATGTCTCCAAAGAAGGAGACTCCACAACCTCCCTGGGCAGCCTGTTCCAGTGTTCCATCACCCTCACTGAGAAGAAGTTTCTTCTCAAGTTTAAGTGGAACCTCTTGTGTTCCAGTTTTCACCCATTGCCCCTTGTCCTATCATTGTTTGCCACTGAGAAGAGCCTGGCTTCGTCCTCATGACACTCCCCCTTTATATATGTACACTAATAAGGTCACCCCTCAATCTCCTCTTCTCCAAACTATAGAGACCCAGCTCCCTCAGTCTTTCCTCATAAGGGAGATGCTCCACTCCCTTAATCATCTTAGTTGCCCTGCGCTGGACTCTCTCCAGCAGGTCCCTGTCCTTTTTAAACTGAGGGGCCCAGAACTGGACACAATATTCCAGATGAGGTCTCACCAGGGCAGAGTAGAGGGGAAGGAGGACCTCTCTCGACCTACTAACCACCCCCCTTCTAATACAACCCAGGATGCCAAACATGGAGTCAGGGACTTCATGTGACATCTAAGATCAAGATCATGATGATAGACTGAGAACATCACTGAGCTGTCTCATCCTACTTCTTGTAACAACAGCGCCCAAGTCTTGTGCTGAACCCACCTGCCCCATGTCACATGGAGACACCAACGGTTGTGATTTGGTATCTCACCTATTTATGACCAGCAAAGAGTTGCACATACACTCCTGATGCAGCCTGCATGTGTGTATCCATTGAAAAGGGGGATGGCAGGAAGAAGATAGAAGCCCATGGGGTAGGAGATGGAAGGGAACAGAAAGGAGGGAAGCAGAAGTCTTTGCATAACCACCTGCTGCTCCCTTATCTGGGCTGGCTTCAGGGAGTACTGAGCCACCGCACAGCCTTGTCCATCCTTTACATACCACCACTAATTACCTTACTTACCATATATTTTCCACATATATTCTTTATTATTGTTTTACAGTGGAGGGGGGGAAGGGTGCTGTAGGGGTATTTTTGTGGGTGAGAAAAGAGTTTAGATGGGGGACATGCAAATTCACACAAACTAATGAAATGCTGCTATTAACACACACATCTTAAGATGAAGGAGCACCTTACAAAACTTAAAATGCAACAAAGGAGCTCGGCAGGAAAATGTCTACATTTGTTTAAACATTTCTATCATTTCAGGGAACCTAAATGCCTTATTCTGTACTAGTTAAAGGACGCTTTGTTATGGTAATGTACAGGTTGGGACTGGTGCTCCAAGTTGTATTGTTGAAGTGACTGCACTGCATTATATGCGAACATTATAACCAGTCACTTAATCTTCATTCCTGACAGAAATCCATTTATTAAGGTATAGGGTAGGTCTTAACTTGAATGTTTCAGTGATGTTGACATTTTTGATTGCTCAATTTATGTATACTTTTGTCCATATACCCTTAAAAATACTACACACACCTATTTTTATACGTATACACATAAAAACAGGAATCACACACAGATTTACATACATATATACACATAAAAAGGAATAAATAACAAATGTGTGTAAGCCAGTCTGCATTTACAGGACAATCGCACTGTACTAGAGGTCGTAGGTAACAGCCAAATAGATTAATGAACTGGCAGTTTAACAAAAGCAGGCAGACTACCCAGTAGGATTTAAAAGACAGCCTGTGCTTTTGATCTCCAAGCAGCACACAAGAATACAAAGGGAATATAAAGTACATAAACCTATGGCAGCTCCCTTGAAAGCAGTTCACCCACAAAGGCATCTGGCTGATCATTCTTCAAATCCATCCTAGATCCTTCCAAAGCAGCCAAAGACACACATACAACCCAGAAGGACGACCGCATTATCCATATGGATGCAAGTGGCACCAACACTGCTTCCTACAAAACCCCTTGAGGGCTGTGTGATCAGGACCCTTCTTGTCACACTATGAAGACTATGTCCCTTTAGATATAAAATGAACACGTATCAAAACACGTAACAGAGGAGGCATCAAATGCTATTTGATAAACCCCATACAATAGGCCAGCAATCGAAGATACAACAACTTCACCCCATTTTCTGCCTTAATTTATGTCATTTATAGGACATTTATGCCCTTAGCAGCAGTTTACTGACTAATACTGGCTATATCTTCATCATGATCAACATATTTGAGGAATAAAGCACCTCCTAACTGGGCAGGCTATTTCAGCTGCTCCTGCTGGCTGAAGAAAGTAGATCCTTTACACTGTGCTGCACTCATTTTCTGCCTGACTACTCTTTGACCTTCTTAGCCAAAATAGTCATTAACTCATTTGCAGCTTTGTGATCGGTTTTACTGTAGAGTATTGAATTTATTCTAGTCTCCTTTTAGATTTCATGCAGTAAAAACACAACAGGTCATTTTCAAAGCAATTGCAGGATTACGTGCAGCGTGACGCGTGCTATCTTGAATACATATGCCTTTAAAACCAAAACACAGCTGAAGACCACTTTTAGTTTCTTGCAATATTTAAGTTCTGCAAAAGTTGCTCCTATTACCCACAACTGACAAAGTATCTTTTACCAGAGCTGTAGATAATGTGAAATCACATTACTCCTTTTCAGTGGAGAAAAAGGCCTGTGGCTCTTACTCCTTCGGTCTGGAGGTTTTTCCCCAGGCCTTCACAATTCATTGTGTCCAAGGACCAACAAGGAGGTACTGTGTACTCGCATAGACCTCAGCTGCATTTTGTCCTAACAAGACTCCAGATACATGAAAATCACTTTGGACTTCAACAAAATGATTTATGATTGAGGAATAAAAAGGGAAACTAACAGCTTTTATTCTGTCAATCTAATGCAAGCAAGAACAATTTCTTCTTTGTTCACTTCCTCCCATTCCTCTGCCCTTTCATCCCTAGGAAGTAGTAACTGTAACTATTGAAGAGTTCTTTCTGGTCAAGCTATCTTCAAGAAGATTAATGTTTGGGTGTTTTTTTGAGCCTGTGAATGTTTTATTCTTGCTCCAACAAAGAAAAATCCAACCCCAAGCCCCTACCCTCAAATTGCCTTTAAAAAGTGCTGAACACCATTCCCATAGCCATTATTCACCAAGCACATCATGTCTTTTGACAGCTGAGTTGTTTCTGAAAAGCACTGTTGCCTGATTATAGGGAAACACTCCAATAAAAAGCACATACTCACTGAAACGATGCACTTTTTATGACAATCTTTCCAAGAACAACAGTAGCTAATTTGAGTTGAGTTTCCTACTGGGAAATGACTCTTTAATATGCACATCTCTTAATGACTACTTTAAAGCAAATTGTTGATGCTACAGTGATTTAATCATACATGTAAGAAAAAAGTTTAGCTCTTACTTAGAGTACAATTTATCATCTTTCCAGGTAGCACAAATCCAATGCAGCCCATGTGGCTCACATGAGCCAAGCGTTCTCTTCATTTTAAATACTATTACTGAATGGATCCACAGGACTTTTTAGGCCCACTTACTTGGTGTTGACTGGCTTTTGCCAACTGCTCGTTTGCTGATTCTACATTAGAAGATGCAGTCTCAATGTTGGCTTCAATGCTATCTGCAAATTAAGATAATAGAAGATCATTACAGGGTGGAAACCTAAAACAAAGACTTGATACCAACAGCAATATAGCATAAAGAGATGAGCCGGCTCTTGTTTGCAAGCTGTAGTACTACAGGGAAATAGAAATGCCACCCATTTCGATGAACACCTAATCCATCTCTCAGAGACTGTATGACTGGTATCTAAGCATGTATCCCAAGAAGCTCATCCCATTCCCACTGAAACCAATGTGAAGACTTACTGAGAACCCACAGGAAACCAGCTCAAGATGGGTAAATTTGCTAGATTAGAGTTAAATAAAAAAAGGTACATGGCAAATTGTACCTGAAATTATCCCATTATTAGCTCCTCAATCAAGTACATGTGCATTATTGACCATCCCCAGGAGCCTGCACTTAAGCAAGTCATCTGAGACACTATCATACTCCACAAAGACCAAGTCCATAGTGTGAGATTCATCCGACTCTACGTTAGCTGCCTGCTGCTGATTAGATAAGATGAATCACCACCTAAACTCCTGGATCAATTTCCAAGCTGCAAGCAAGGTCTGATCAGATGCTTCACATTGAGACACACTGCTTGTACCTAATATTAAGGAACAGGAATCTCAGACCTTGACTGGCTAGGTCTGATGTTGGGGGAAGCTGAGGAAGAAATCAAAAGGAGACTGGAAAAGAAAGGTTATCAAGTACACATTGCAGCTGGCAGCTCTTGATTTCCACCAGACAAGTATTAATTCTGACTTGCTTAGAAAGCAAGACATCTATGGCACAGAACCTGCCAATAAGGGCTTGTGTTCCCAGGGGAAATCTTAGACCACCTTGTCCCCTAAAAGATGCGCAGCCTATAACTTCTTGCCACAATGGAAGAGTACGTGAGCGTGGTCTGCTTCTGTGTGCTGTCAAGCGGATATTGCATCATGAAGCATATGAAAACGGTCAAGAGGAACAAAACCACAGGTTGAAAATGGATGAAAAATTAAGGTTTCAGTGCTTTCTCTAATCCTTAACAAAATTAATGGAAATTCTTCAACTGATGGCATTAGGAGTAGGATTAATACACGCCACAGAAGATTTAATTTATTGTTTCATTTTTGAAGGAAAGAACATTAATTAGTCTGGCCATTTCTGTAGCAGTAAAGAAATGAGGGTTTACAGATAAACTCTGGAAGAAAGTGGTTGTGTTCATGTGTTGCCATTTTAAAGTGAAACTGCATTGAAAATCCATTAAAATAACTGTGCATTTCCGATAACTAAAAATATAACAAAAAAGCAAAAACCCCATAAACCAGAAGAAACACAGAATGAAACCACTTCATCTTCACACTTTGAAACCTGTTAAAAGACTTACATTACTCCTGGGCTAGATGGATTTCTGTTCCTTTTATTTTAGATTATGCATGCAGTAGTAGGATCAAAGAATGGATTGGGTTGGAAAGGACCTTGAGATCATCCAGTTCCAACCCCCTGCCATGGGCAGGGACATCTCACACTAGACCATGGCACCCAAGGCTCTGTCCAACGTGGCCTTGAACACTGCCAGGGATGGAGCATTCACAACCTCCCTCGGCAACCCATTCCAGTGCCTCACCACCCTCACAGTAAAGAACTTCTTCCTTCTCTCCAACCTGAACTTCCCCTGCTTAAGTCTGAACTCAACACCCCTTGCCCTATCACTACAGTCCCTGATGAAGAGTCCCTCCCCAGCAACCTTGTAGCCCTTTTCAGGTATCTCCTGTATGAGAAAGAAAAAATACATGGCCAGCACTTTCATAGATTGATACAGCATAAGTTTCTTTGCTATATCGAATGCTTCTCAAACCATTTTTATTAAGCCTTTAACACCATGGACCTTGGTTGGTATCACCTCTCCCCTCATGCTTTCCTTGCATTCAGGATTCAGCAGGAAGACATCAAAAGGCTTTTAAGGAACTCAGCCTCTGCCTATGAAGAAATACCAGATTTCCTTCTACAGAGCCTTAGAAGATCTACCTGGGGTCTACCTCAAACAGGTATGCCTGAGAAGCAAGGTGTTTCTTGTGAGTAAAACAGAGTAAAACGATTTCAACCTGTTACTTGATAATAGTGGTGTTCTAGGCAAGTTTACAAGAAAAACCCTCATGGCACATCACCACAAGTTCTATCACTGACAACTGGTATCAACACTTCTGTTTAAAAAGAATCATAGAATGGTTTGGGTTGGAGAAGACCTCAAAACTCATGCAGTTCCAATGCTTGCCATGGGTAGGGACACCTTCCACTAGAGCAGGTTGCTCCAAGCCCCTGTGTCCAACCTGGCCTTGAACACTGCCAGGGATGGGGCCGCCACACCTTCTCTGGACAACAGACATCACAACTCCAGGGTAGGGCCTCATATCTTTCCAGCCAGACACTGAGACTGACACACAAATCAGTAATTGCTCATTCGACGTATTTTATGAGATACAGCAGAGGGATGTTTTCTGGTTAGATTTGAGAGAGCTGAAAAGTGGCAGATCCGTGGGCTATGTAGGGCAGGGGAGTGCTTTTTTTATGCGTTCACATCTTAATACAGTGCTGTGTAATTGGCGACAACAAGCCCCAGTCCAATTTCCAGCACTGTCTATACAAGCCCCTCTGTATGAGAAGCAGGGCACAAGGCAGAGAAATCAAGAGTCGGTATGTCATTAACACTGACAGGATGCATCAGTCAGTATAACTTGTCACTCAGCCAAGGTGACAAATTCTTAGTTGCTTGGTTGTTGACAAGTATTTACTCTATGGTTAAGCATGAGTACATAACCAGATTGGTTTTTCCTGAAATCCAAACTATGTACTGTGGAAGTCCATAAGATGTTATCTGAAGGGAGCCTATAGGGATGCTGGGGATGGCCTCTTTGTTAGGGACTGTAGTGATAGGACAAGGGGTAATGGGTTAAAACTTAAACAGGGGAAGTTTAGATTGGATATAAGGAGGAAATTCTTTCCTGTGAGGGTGGTGAGGCACTGGAATGGGTTGCCCAGGGAAGTTGTGAATGCTCCATCCCTGGCAGTGCTCAAGGCCAGGTTGGACGAGGCCTTGGGAGATATGGTTTAGTGCAAGGCTTCCCTGCCCATGACACGGGGGTTGGAACTGGATGATCTTAAGGTCCTTTCCAACCCTAACTATTCTGTGATTCTGTGATCTAGCCACTGAGACAAGACCTGAAATTCAGATCCTGATCACTCAGAACTTCAACAAGCCATAACTTTCCTACAGCCAAGCTATGACCTATGTTGGGCTGGGGAAAAGAGAAGAAACAAGTTAAAAATGGAACTAAAATTAAGAATATGTCCTGTTGGGAAACCTGCTAGTTTCAGAAACACAAAAGCTGACCATGGGTTTGGGTTAAAAAATAGAACTTTATGCAGAAAAGCACCTTGCTTTTAAGTTACTTTGTGATGGGATTTGGAAAGGATGGGGGGATTTGGGAAACTGCCTTATCACAGAACCATAGAATGGTTTGGGCTGGAAGGGACCTTAAAGATCATCCAGTTCCAACCCCCTGCCATGGGAAGGGAGACCTTCCACTAGAGCAGGTTGCTCCGAGCCCCATTCAGCCTGACCTAATCAAAGTAACAGAACTTGCTCATGTATCTGATGCTTCCCAGGATCTTAGTGCAGACACCCTTCACTACTCATTGCCTAGTGAAGGCTGACGGTCCTCAGAGAATCAATCATTTATGCATAGGAGAGCTAAAGAGGAGAGATTTATGGAAGATATCTTACTAAACCAAGAGCAATCTGTCTGTGCTTCTCTTGGGGCAGGGAGAAATCACAGAAGGAGCTTAATTTAACGTCTTTAAATAGCCCTCCATAGGAACCGAGTGCTTTTCACTGCCTGCAGGGGGGCCTAAGGAGATTTGCCTTCCTTAGATAAAATTAAACGTTGTGAACGCCCCCTTAGCACTGCATGGAATGGGCTAATCACATGTTCTGCAGGGTGTTTTGCAAACATCATCCACCTATTTACCACCACAGGCTTTCACAAGTAGGACGGACGTGTGTGCTACATGCTATATAGGAGTTGATGCGATGGTACAGGTGGAGGCTGGACCCTGGTGGCACTGCTTCTGCTCACTTATACTCCTAACAGGAGAATACCAGCCTTGGAATAAGCAAAACTCCCATTTAGATGTTCTTTTTGAAGCAACTTGTAATCCTGAGACACAGGGGGAAAACTAGAACAAAATCACCCCAAAACAACTCTAAACCTCTATAGAAATGAGACATAAATATGTAACACAATTTAACCAGATATTCCTGCTGATTAACACAGGAAAGCAAGGAAAGGAAAGAGAATTTGGGTCAAATCACAAGGAAATAAGTGATAACTTGATGATGCTAATAAGTCAATGATGAATGTGTCACAGCTATTTCAGTGCATCATTGCTGAGTGATAGCAATGGTTTACAGTATTACCTTGGATGCTTCCAGGCTTTTTGCCATGGTACCTTACTTGTCAATGCAGAGGGGATTTCCTCAGTAGACTGAAGAAAGCCTGCCGGAGGGGTCTACCTTTTCCTTTGTCATTAGCATGAATGGGCAGTGATTCTGGTCCCAAACAGGTGAGATAACCCAGCCCTGGGGCTGGGATTTGCCAAAGAGCCTGAATCCCACAATAATTCTCTGTTCTGAGCCTCTGATGCCAAATTTAGGGTGCAGTTTGAAAACAAAGAGAAACCCTAAGGCGATGGGATTGCCATTGTATTAAACTGAGTGACAGGGCAGCACTGAAACAGATGGTGGCTGCAAACAAATGCAGACAGGAATTCAGGTAATTCTAATTTCCCAGCTAAAAGACATCCTTTCAGTTGGGGTTGTTCACCCTGGAGAAGAGAAGGTGCATGGAGACCTCAGAGCAGCTTCCAGTGTCTGAAGGGGGCTACAAGGATGCTGGGGAGGGACTCTTCATTAGGGACTGTAGCAATAGGACAAGGGGTGATGGGTTCAAACTGAAACAGGGGAAGCTCAGG